TTTTTTTTTTTTCTTTTTTTTTAAGGAATAAATTGTCCTCAAGCCAAACAAGCTTAATTTTGACAATTTTTAAAATTTACTATTGTGATATATTATTTATAAAATTAGGAAGATCATAGAACCATTGTGTTACAAATCTTGTGCCACATAGTGCTAAGATTGTCATTGGTATTTTTTTACTTTTTTTCTCTATTTTTTAGCTTGACAAAAGTTTGTGTTCTTATAGTAACAATGTGCCAATGTTTGCGAAAAGTGTTGAAACGATAAAAAGCTTTCTGTGTTGTCCATCTATTGCCTTTCACTATCTCACTTAAACAACACTAGGATTAGATGCAACAAGTTCTTTCTTATTTCCCAACACTTCCATCTAGCTCTAAACCATGACCATATAGACAAAATAGTCTAGTTTCAATGTTTCACCTGAACAAACATAGCACTGCAGCTGTTGACAGATTCACGTCCCCATGACCATGGCTTTAGTTCAGTGCAGTGGTAGTTGTGTTCATCACCAATCTATAATATTACATTTTGTTTTGTTTATTGGCACTTCTATGTGTGCAGATTTACAGCTTTGTATTTAAGCTAATTAAAAACTTTGCAGTTTCTGATAGAATTTCATTTACTAGCACATCTGTCTTTAAGAGCTACTCTGTTGTTTCTGCCTTGGGGTGGATGGGGGGGGGGGGGGGGGGGGGACTAAATATGCCTTTTTTTTTTTTTTTTTGAGAGAGAGACTTGCAAAAGATTTACTGATGCTATAAAGTTGACTTCATCAGTTTTCTTTAAGCTGTTTTTTTTTTTTTCTATAAGGACTTTTTAAATTTGACTTTTAAAAAACAAAAATTTCATCTTCTTGTATTGTCCCCTTAACTTCTGGAAATAACATTGAATTCTTGGTACAAGAAATGACTTAAAAACATTTATTTCCTTTTTTGAGTTAAAATGTCACTTTAACCTAATGCTCATTGTCTGCTGCTCTGTACTTGTCCTTCTGTCTCACTTCCAGGTGGACTTTAAATATATGATGACCTCACTCTGTGGGCTTGAAAACTTTTTCTTTTTTTTTTTTAATTGAGCATAAAATCCATTCCTTCTGCATTGTTTATACCATCTGGCAAGTTGAATGCTGTAGTTTCTATTGAAATGATTGTGAGAAACTTGTTTCTTTTTTTAATTATATATTTCAGGTTGGCATGTTCATTAATCAGGTAGAGAATAGACATTGAATTACATATATGTAGAGATATGCTTGAATTATTTTTATTATGTCATTTTAAAATAAGAAGCATGGCCATTTGCATTTTTAACTAATTTAAATGTTCAAACTAAATATAATTATTCAAATTATTTAATAAGTGTTTATTTAGTAAAGAGTATATATATATATATATGAACTATTGGACACAGACTCTGAGAAATCACTATTTTCATTTTGACATAAAGTTCCTGTAACTGTAAGACTTAAGTAGTGCAGTAGTGGTTACTCTGAACCTAGAAATGGTTTAGCTAGAGCTCTGAAGAGAAGTTTTAAGTTCTTATTAAAAGTTTTCTGTTCTGTGGGTTGATTGTTTACATTACTATTGGACTACATGAAATTATAAATTAAGCTCCATCTTTGGTTGTTTGGTTGTGTGCTTTGCATTCAATTGTTCTTTGTTTAGTGTATAAGTTGGTTGTAATGGTGGCTGTTGGGTTAAAAACAAAATTATTTGTTTCGTAGTGGGTTAGGGTGTTTCTTGTTTTAAGTTATCTGGATTAAAGAAAATGTTTTTCTGCCTATTTAGTTTCTAGTCTTCTGTGGCCTGCATTTTGAGTTGGGTTTTTTTCCAGTTCATATTTTTATCTTATATTAACAAACTAACTGCATACGTTTTAACTAACATTCCTTATTCATTGAACTAATTCATGAGCTTTCTGGCAACCATGGCTGTGCATACACAGAAGCGATTCTGTTTATTTTAGAATACAACAAAAATATGAATGGTTTCATTTCTTTTAAAGAACTAATGAAGTGACATATTTAGTATAATGTTGATTCTGATTCCCCAGTTGTATTGGATTAGCATTGTTAACTTTTGGTAACCTACAGATTCTAACTATTAGTTTTGATTAGCAGTATTTATTATGTGTTCATTAAGCAAGTATATACAACAGCAGTCACTAAAGCTACAATATACAATTTAGAATGCATTGGAGAAGAGCCAGTCTGTATAACTTGGGATTTTTAGTGAATTTATGACAAATACTTTTAGGAGAGGAGTCAGTGAATAGAACCTCTACCCAAGTATTATTAGGGCATAGAAACCTCTTCAGTTTTAAAGTCATAACACAACATGGAATCAGGGAGGATAACTTGCTGTGTACTAGTCTAACAAAAGTATTGGGGTTAAAAATTGAAGGATTGAGGATTCATGGCATTATATGTTCGTAACTGGGAAAGCTTTAAGCTTGCAAATCCTATTGTAAAACATATACTGGAATTGTTAGCTAATGGTCAGTGTTTCTTGACCTAACCATAGCCTGCTGCAAGATTTCCAGGAAAGAAAATGATTTGGGAACTGTAGGTATCAATTTGATTTCAAGGCATCCAAGTGCTTCTAAAGAAAAAAGATATTTTGTATCATGTGGAAATCAAGATTTTTGAAAGTTATGGAGTATTCATGAATATTTAGGGTTAACCCTTAAAACAAGAGAAAGATGACTAAGCATGAAAGCGTCTGAGGCAGGTTATTTATAATTCTATAGTTTGTCATGAAGATCATTTTAACACAAATTTGTATACAGATTGTTTTTTTTTATAAAATTCTTGTAGCTTTTAATTGTGAAGTTTTTTCACAGCAATAGTTGCAGGTTGTTAAAATCTCTATTAATAAATGTATTAGTTCAAACAATCTCCATGGTTATGTAATTATTTGTATTGAAATTTTTTTTCTTTACAACTTATTAATCAGATCAAGAAATCATAGATTTCTTCTTCTTTCTTATTGTCTTAAGAGTTGAGTCTATGACTCTTGCAACTCTAGGCCTATAGAAGCTTGGCCTCCATCTGACTGTCTGAACAAACTTCTGTCTGAGAAAGATCTAAGAAGTAAATTATTACATCCCTATTACTGATGGCTCATATCCCAAGGCACTTAGATTAAGAATGGAGGCCAGTGGCTAAAAACCTCAAGGAAATCTCCCCCCTATTCCTTCTGTGTACCACATCTGTCTCAATGAACTTGTTCTCTTCAAACGTCATCTCTCCATTGTTCACTGTTTCCATGAAGTCATTTGAAGCTACTCCCATTTTCTACACATCTATTGCCATGGCAACTTCAAAGAAGGAAGGAATTTCTTTTCTCTCCTCTCTTGGTTTGACTTTGGGTCTAGATGGAATACAAAATGTTACAACCATGTCGATAGTCTCCTATAGTTTTGTCCTGCTTTGTGTCTTTAGTTTTCTTTTATTGTCCTTTGAATTTTATTTACATTTTTGTTTTGGCTTACAGTTTGATAGATTCTTCTGTCACCTCAGAACTACTATGTTGGTTAAGCTTAACTTTTTTATTTTTTAATGCGCAACTTTCTGCAATATGCATGCCCAGTGCCATCTGGTCCAATCACTTTTTCTGGGCTTGTGAGGTTACAGGGAGGTTTTCATGCTGCCTTTAGGCACTCAGCAAACATACCTTTGATCTAGTCTGAATTTGAACTTGAAACCCCCCCCCCCCCCCCCCCCCCCCCCCCGATAGGTAGCCAAGTGGCTTAGGCCACTAAATGAATACCATCTCACCACTTCACTGGGTCTCACTATTTTTTGACTTATTTCACAACTTTTACTTGAGTGTAAATATAAGACTGCCATAAGAAGACTTAAATTGAGGAAGTTTCTAAATGATTTGAAAAAAAAAGGTATGGGAATGATTTGGTTTCATTAATTCAGACATAAATCTTCTTCCTTCATTCAAAGTTCCCCTTTCAGACCTTGTGGTCTATAGGGCAGATGATGTAAAGGTCATCTGTTTCTGTGGCCTGCCGTTAACGAGGGTGTCATGTGGCCAGCATAACAACTGACCACCTTTACTTTTCCCCAACTAATGTCAGGTACCCACTAGAGCAGCTGGGTGGAGTCTAGACGCCTTCATTCATGGCTCAAATTATTTTGTAGCTTGAATGTTTTTGTTTCTTCATTGTCAACATTTTGTTTTCTTGAAACTTTGATCCATGAGGTACTGATTGATTATTGATCCATGAGGTACTGATTGATTATTGCTAGAAGGCTATTTTGAAACCAGGTTTGACTGGAAAGATTGGTAGACGCTGGTCAAAGCTCTCCACGGTCTTATAACAACATGAATGATTAAATGACACTAAAGACAATAAACACATTTTGATTCATCCAGAGTATTTGCCTAATTAAAGAAGAATCTATTCATTCATAGAATTATCTAGAGCTCCCATCATTTTTTTAAAATCTGCACTTTGTATAGATAAAACATTGCTAATGGGGCATCTGTCATTAAGTGTGCCTTGGTTGGTTTTCTTTTAGCAAGTTGTTGAAACAATTTTGTGTGAGTCTTTTGTTGCAGAAACCTTTTTTTTTTTCCAAATCCATAGACTGTACATGTGTACCAGGAATTGTTTTTTTTATAATTTCTTTGAAAGTAATATTTTACTAACATGTTGTGTTTAAATCATGTTAGAATTTCAATCTAATTTTAGATTGAAAGATTTTGTTTTAGCTATTGGATGAAAAATATTTTATCCTATATTCAATAAAATTAACAACATGAAAGATATTAGAAAAAAACAAAACAAAGTAGAGCCTATTTATTGATAACTAATAGTAGAATGTCAGAGATTTCATACTTTGAAAGGATTGTTCTTTTTAATTTAAATCCCATATACCAGTTATAAAACATTCATGTATATGTTCACATTCATATATATATATATATATATATATATATATATATATATATATATATATATATATATATATATATATATATATATATATATATATATATATATATAACAGAACACTCATAACTACATAACAATTAATGTAAAACAAACATTTTGAACTTAACAAAGACTTGCTTTATAGTTCAGTTGTTATTATAATTATTACCGGTACTTAATTTTATTAATATTTTAAAGTAAAAGTACCCATTGTTTAACATTGTGATGTATAGGGCTGATAATGTAAAGGTCATCTGTTTCTATACCTGGTGTTTAAAGAGGGTGTCATCTGGCCACACCACAACCCACTTTCCCCAACTAATGTGAGGTAACCCATTAGAACTGCATGGATTCAGGGGCATCCTAAAAATCTCAAAGTTGAAAAAAAACTCCCAGTCTTCACAGAGATTTGAACCCAAGCCTCCTCAGTGTGGAAGCCACATGGTTTACGTGGTATTGCTAGTCTAATAAAATTGTGTGAGGGATAAAAAAAAATGTTTTTCAACTTTTGTGTGTCATTAACACTCCCAGTATTTCTATCACAGTCCATGTCTTTGTCCAGCATCACACATTATTATACAAGTCAATCCTGTTTGAAATGTTGGGTTGATGGACTTGTCAAGATATTAACACTCTTTGGGACAGTCGAGGATATTATGACCTGTATATTTTTGTTGTTTGGCCATTCAATGTGAGCTTACATTGTGTTAGTGTACTCACCACTGGGTTATGCCAATGTAGCCTATTCTAATTATGATGTAACCCATTCTTGACTTTGTTAGTTTTACGTAAAGAATATATTTTGTGTCTGTGTCAAGGTGCAATAAACACTTGTAGATGTTTTCAAGTTTCTTGGTTTTAATTACTTGATTTAAAGTCTGCTGGAGAGCTGCATGTTAACTAGAGTAATCTTCTCTTTGTTTATATTTTGATTGATCAAGTGTAGGTTTCGCAATAAAATATAGCAATAGTAAGTGTAGAGAACTCGATCTGGAGAGACGTGGGTACAATAGAAGGCAATTTAAAAAACAACACCTAGATTTTTGTAAAAATTGAAATATTATTTTATTAAGATTGGGAGAGATTGTGAAATGAATAGACAAACAATATGAAAAATGATTTTTTTTTTTTCTGCTTCAGGAAGCTGATGGTGATCTAAGATTTCTCATTCTGTTTAATTTCTTGTATTGTTTCGATATAGCAAGGAGTCTTACCCGTACTACTTATGTTCATCAAGTCTACATACGACGGTGCGCAAATTGTTTAGGTACATCTACTATTTGTTCCACTCCTTGTTGAATACGAAGAAACATTTGAGTCGAGTGTGGGATTTCCCGATGAAACGGTGTTAAAAAAATTATTTGATGTCATTCGGAACAATTCATTGATATAAAGACAAGCCAAATTTTATTTTAAGATGATAGAATAATTCTCTTCACTTTTAACGGTCAAACCAGAGTTTCACTGGTTGACCAATCAGCCACTAGTGATGGTTTTCTTAAAGATATAAATAAACTTGTCAAATCCTAGGAGCCGTTTTGTTACGTGATACAAGATAAACAAAAATCTTTTTCCTTCCACCCATGAAGAGAATGCAGATTAATAGAAGGAATTGTAAACACAATGTCAAGGACGCCTTATGAAAAGACTTGTCAACTAGATATATATAACTCAAGAGTATCTGGATGTCTGCCTGGTCGTGTGGTATGCTTTCTGGACTTACGTTCGCTGGTCACGAGTTCGCCGCCACCTCCGACCTCCAGGGAGGTTTTCAAATCTGAAGAAACATCCGAAATGTGTAAGAGATACACAACTTACATTATTGCCTAGAGCTAGCAGTCTATACGTTTTGAAATACCTACGCATTTTGTTTGCACCACTGTCATAAAGCGAATCTCTCTGTAGAAATTTCATTCTGCAGTACCAAAAATGGGAACCCATTCGTACATAAATGTTTAAGAACCGTTCAAAAAACATCTTATTAAAACAATAAATTATGAGAAAAAGATGGAGAAACAAGTGGGAAAATGTATGGAATTTTATTTTATTATTTGAAGTAAATACGCCGCGGAACATTATGCTTCATGTTACCATTGTAAAATTCATAGAAAACAGACCTATATATTGTATCTTATATATAGGTCTGTATGATAGATTCTAGACAGTAAGTGAATTGGACAAAATAGAAAATAAAATCAAGGGCTCTCATGCTGCTGTTTTCGTATTAAAGACAAGCAACATCTGATTGAATCTAAACCTTAAATACTGAAAAAGATGAGAATACCTCACGATATCAAGGGATCTCATGCGCTTGTTTTCTTATTAAAGAAGAGCAACATCAGATTGAATCTAAACCTAGAACTCATACAGAAAAAGATGAGAATCCCCGATGAAAAATTAATAAAGTCGAGAAAGAGAATTAAATGCACAATCAAGCGAAACATGTTATTGTGCAGTCTGAGAGTTGTAAACTCTGGCTCGAACAGCTGGACAACGAAGGTTATCACTCTCGGTATCAGGACCACAGTGTAAGTCATTATGACCAACAGTAGCATCTTGACCACTTGAAGGTCTCGTTTGGAATATTTAGTAGAATTCTTTGCTATACATTTTGATCTGGCTGGAGTGTATGGCAATTTATTTCTGAAGTCCGAAGATTTGTGAAGAATGTTTGCGATGACCACAGTGCTGCTGACCATAAGAATCAAACTAAGTAACGGATATAAGAAATTGAAATATTTATAAAACTCTAAATACACCTGTCCGTGGGTAAAGTAAAAATGTGAAAACTGATAAATGGCTTCTGGTTGGTCTAGAGCTGATGTCTTTATCCATTTTACTTCCAGGATAAACAAAGCAGGAAACAGGGACGCCAGCACAATGACCGAAAGAGTAACGCATGCAAGCCACGTGACTTTCCTTGACCTGGAGAGGGACGCTAATGCACAGGCATCTTTCCAGGGCTACGTAGCCACCTATGACGTAGGCGATGTTCTGCAGACAGTTGACGTGAGGGTAGGTAGCATTTGGCCAAGACCTGCCCAGTGACAGCGACAGAAGGGACAGAGGACCGTAGCACCTGTGAACGACGCCGCACAGGACGCGAACCAGATCCCAGAAGGCGATTGTCGTCATAGTGATATTGATTGTCTCCTTAAACCCCATGGTGGTAAAGACGACGATCGTCAGAATGTTCCCCAAGATTCCCAATAAGGCGATGACGAGGGAGAACCAAGTATCGACTACAGAGGTGAAGGTCGCTAACACATGGTCTGACACAAGAATCTGATCAAAGGTCGTCCTAACTGAAGTTACATTTACCAAATATAGATAGCTACAGCAATATGATGTCATATTACTGGATTTCATACTATTGTATGTTACATTACAGAATGTCACATTACTAGATGTCATATTACCGACTTTCACATTACTGTAACAAAAATTATTCATTGTGATTCTACAACAGCTCTCAGTCCTAAAGGTTGAAATGAAGGCTGCTACCTCATTTAGTACAACAATAGGTTGTGTTTAAGTAGTGAAACTTTAGTAGACATCTCACTGGGTCGATAATACTTACAGTATCCGTATTTGTTACAATTCTATTATAGGCATAAAAAGAAACTTTCTATTATAAGACATTTAACAATAATTAAAATTTCCATTCACGTGAATAAGTAGAACGCAAAATAATAACGAAACTTTTCATGTAGGCCTACCTCTTTCCCCTTCCCTACTAATCACAGTCATTTGTTATTTTCTAAATCGACCATTTTATTACAAAGAGAAAGCTCTAAACTATATCATGACAGCTTCACCAGTGATGGTACACACACACATACACAATTATTGTCTTAATTATCGACATTACAATAGTGCTCAAATAGAGCTTTCTAAAAACCAAAGCACTGTAACGCGGACGGTAAAATGGTAGGTACTTTGTAATCGTATTGCCGTCTTGTACATTTACAATCGGCGAATCATTCATTTACGCGTAACAATGCTAGGCTTTAGATTCTAGTATGTGACAATTGTATCGTTGCAAATAATTGCATGGTTAATCTTAGTGATACTAGTTTTTGTTTTAGTTACGAGTTTATGAATACATCGATATAGAAAATTTTATATTGTTTGTTACAATCTATGCGCGCAATGAAATTTTATCCAGGAAACAGTACGTCCATTTGATTAGAAGTCACCTTAGTCTTACCTTAGTATTCAGATGTTAACTGAAGAATCTGAACCGATAGCTTGAATCTCTCAACCGAGAGTTACAAAAGAATTGAAAGTTATAAATGAAATTATAATCGAAGTGATGGAATCAAAGCAGAGGTACGAGCATTTAAGACGCGTTATATAAAGTGAATAATAGTAATAGTTTATATCTCAGACACGACCGACAGCACTCCACGATCGATTTCTCTTTGACATGTCTGTTGTGCCCAAGGGTGCATAAAATTTATTGGCAAGGTGTTGGGGACTTTGAATCGCAAATACCACACATTATACTACTCTGACCACCTCAAAGTTGGTACCATAAAGTAGAATACCCTATTTTCATATTTAGTGAGTTTAGCCTAATTCACAACAACCATGATTTAGAGTGAATCGCTTTAACCTTCAGCTATGCAGTCACTCTATAGCACATTAGCCAGTCACCTTATAAGCAAATCCAGAGTTAAATGTTACACTAGGCAGTCACTAATTAGTCACTCTATGACCAAGTTAAGAGCCAGTTGTTTTATAAGGTAGAAGTCTAACATTTTAGTTACTCTACATTGTTAGCTATATTTTATTAAGGATCTTATTACTAAGCTATTGTGACGTTATTCTTGGAGTATTATATTATCTTCTTATCTTATAAAATACAGACGTTACTTCAAAAAAGAAGATGATTACGTCCTACGCTTCATGTATCTAGACATGCATGTTAACCAATGGCTTAAATTCTGCCAAGTAATTGGTTTTCCTGGTTAGCTCAGGCTAACCTGCTCTAATAGCATTACGGAAGAAGGAGCATTTGTATAAATTTGTCCTAGCATATAGAACGAGGATTGTGCCTTTATCTTTGTGTCTTTCAGAGTATTTTATTAGGCTTTGTTTTCGTATTTAAAGATTATGGTTCAGTGTTTTATGTATAATTGCTACTTTACTTTTGAGTCTTCTGTCCTGAAGGCTTTTTAAATTTAGTGATTTTACTAAAGGTGTTACTCTAGTCAAATGTGAATATTCGCTTGTTATGAATCTCACTGCTCTATTTTGTGTCTGTTCCAGTTTCTTAATGTTTTCTTGAGTTGAGGGGTCCCAAACGGAGGATGCATATTCTATTATTGGCCTTAACCAAGGTTAAATAACATTTTAGTTTTATGTTCTTATTTGATTTATAGAAATTTCTTTTAATAAATCCTAATGCTTTGTTGGATTTTTTAATCTCAATTAAATATTAATGTTAAACTCCCATTCAAAACTTTTCCCCACAACTATATAAACAAACAAACAAAATAAACGAAGCCTTTGTTTTTGGCTAATCTGGACAACAATGCTAGTAGATACACAGAATAACGTCGGCAAAATGTAAAAAAAAAACTATTGACTCAGCCTTCCCCAGTTAGCTCTCCAATAAAAGCGCTTCTATAAAAGATGCAGATTGCATTATTTGTTTCAGATAAAACTTTCTAAAGAACACATAATTCTACAAGAGACGAAACTTTATGTTTCTAAAGTAAAAATTAGAAGAGTAATTGTATTACATGCTCTATACATCTAATCAAGTATTAAAAAATATCGTTTTATAAGTTGTCTCAGTTGTTTTCAGATACTTAGATTTTAAAAATGTCCCCCCCCCCC